CTCCTTCCTGCAGATGACATCAGTATTTTTTCAGCCTTTCAGCAGTCTTTCCATAACCGTGGATCTCCATCGTCCATGTGAATTAACAAGCTTATGTTGTGTTGTCTTCATTTGATGTGAATACAAAGTGACAAGCAGGAAAGTAGTGGTGATCTCAGCAGTTGGCAGGAGCAAAGTCAAATGGTAGAGACCACAGGTACAGCTGCTGAAAGCTGTCAGAATGTTGTCTGGTTTCCTACTTAAATGATCTTCAGTGATGGTCTCCCTTCATAGCTGGAGACCTTTCAGAATCCCAACATGTGCTCTCCTTAAATTTCTGAGCAGAATCACGTGGTGTTTTCCCTGGAAGCATGGCCAAGATTTGATTTTCTTTCTACTTTGTATGAAAACATCTGTGCTTTCATTCCTTCAACACTCTGAACTTTGCTCACTCCATATCCCTAATATTTATCCATTTTTCCCCTTGGGCATGGCTTTCCTTTTTTATTAATTAGATGACATCAACAACAGAAAAGCAAAACCATACAAACACAAACATAGACCTCTACAATAAACTTTACACTAGAGAGAGATTGAAGTGAAAATAATATTACAAAAGAACACACATTTTAAAAAGCAAATCAGACAAACAAAAAATACAGGAAAAAGCATGCCAGTAGCTTCTAGATACTTCTTTTTTTTCCTCCCCTTCTTTTTTTCTAACTGATAATTGCTACTTAAATGGTTTTATAAGCTTTGGACATCTGTGATTGTAGCTCATTTCAATTTGGATTATTTAAACTATTTCTGTTTTTCTTTTTAAAAAATCATATTGCATAATATTCATTTGTTCGTTCATCACATTTATATGGCCACCTATGTCACAAAATATGTCTGGGAGGCATACAATAAGAACAGTGATATAAAACATCAATATAAAAACAATCAATGGATCCAAACAATTAAAAATTGTTCTTAAAAGGCAAAAAAGAAATATTAACAGTAATGGAGCCATCTGAGGAATTCATCAGTCCCTTGGGGCCCTCAGGCTCAGTTGCATAACCAGGTTTTGAGGGACTTCTGAAAAATCAACAGAGATGGAGCCAACTTTACTTCAGGGAAGATGTTTCCTAAGATGAGTGCCATAGGAGAAAAGGCCTTTGTCCTACATCTCACCAAATGCAGCTCTGTGGCAGACAGGACTGTAGTATACCTCTTCTGCTGGATCTGATCTGATGGGCAGATGTAGTCAGGGAGATTGATTCTTGCTAGATATATCAGATATATCTTAATAAATTGTGTAATTGTTCATTTATTTTCTCTGGGATAATACCTAATAAACTTTGTGGTTTTAATTGAACTTTATTTTCAGAATTTTCTAGATGTGTTGGTGTATTTCTTTCCAGTTCCTTTATGTCTTTTTGCATAACCACCATGTACACTAAAATGTTCCTTCTTTGTTGGGACATTTTCAACATTTATTGTTGTATGCTTTCTNGACAAGTAATGGGAGCTCACTCCGTTACACGGTGCTAGGGATTCGAACTGCCAAACTGCCAACCTTTCTGATTGACAAGCTCAGCGTCTTAGCCACTTAACCTCTGCATCCCTAAAAAAAATCAATATTACAATAAGATATTAATTTCAGTAACTTTAAACTATAATTATACAGTATGATAGAACATAAAACACTAGTTTTTCAGTAGATTTTTTTTTTGTAAAAGCTGTTTATTTTAATTTCATCCATTTTTTTACCCTTGCTGACCAACATGACCAGGATGTTACTGTTGTCCAGCTTGTTTAGTTCCCCTGTTAGCTTCAGTAGTAGTCATAGTAGAAACAGAAAGCCATAGTAATTAAATCTTTGATCTGATTCAGAACAGTTTTTTCTTATATTCTTATTGTACTATAGATCCAGCCCTTTATTAGCAAATAAGTCATGAATCTTTTACATGTCACAATTATTTTTTATTTCTCCCTTTCCCTTGTATATCTTTTTCTCTACTTCACTGAATAGATATATAAGTATTATTTTCTTTTTAGAGTGACTCACCGAAGACATTTAATAGCCACTAAAAGAGAAAATTTTGGCAGTGTCTTAAGTTGTCCCATAACCTATATGTGAGTCATGACCTACCATCTGAAAACCACTGAGCAAGAGAGCTCTTTAATCTGGTTCTAAATCTGATTGATAAAGCATCAGTTTTATATTTTATGCAAAATCTGACATTTTTACACAGTTCTAATTCTTTTATAAACATGATAAGTGAAGGCCAGTCCAGAAGAAAACTGATGAGAAACATATGATTGTTCCTAACATTAAAACAATAAAATAGCAGTTGACCTCACACTTTTAGAACCACAAAATGTAATTAGGTTGTCAATTCAATGAAAGCTATGTAATGGGAATGATCTTTTACAGAAATTTACCCACAAGTCATATTTAATGTGGTTTTTCTCAACATCATGATTTAAATATTTATTTCTACTGATTTCAAAAGTTCCATATATTTTTAATATCACAGCCAAGTTATGAGGATTAATGCTCTATCACTGTATATTTAATTCTCTCTACATCCTCCTGCTGTTGAAATTGCCGGAATTGTAGGAAAGGTAATATTCTGTTTCGGTCAAATTAAATGATGCATTCAGACTTCCTGAGGAAACAGCTTTTTGTAAGCAGCTAAAATATTTATTTATCCAGGTTTCATCTTACAGGTTTTTTTTTAATTTTCTAAAACCAACAAAACTATCAAGTCTCTAATCATCTAATCTAAAACCAAGTTTTACCCCCTGCTTGTAACTAGAAATAAACGACATTTGAAATAAATTTTTGAGGAAAATTAGAGGGGTACTTTTGTCCCCAAACATCTGGTGGGAGGTATAGAAAATCTGATAACTGATACCTTGCTGACATTATAAGGATCTGAAGTGGTTGTCTAAACACTTTTTCTTAGGTACTGTCTATTTATAAAAATTACTTTTAAGTATCACAGAAAGACAAATTAAGGAAACACATTAGGGACTAGGTTTAATATACAGTATCCCTACAGTCTTCCCTCACACCCACTATACCCACCTAGAGAAAATGGAGCAATGATACTGGATAGGCCCAAGGAATATGTTACTTTTAATTCCTAAACTTGAAGAATTTTAGCAGCTGAATTATTTAAAAAGCCAAATTGTATCTTCTGCATTATGAAACAAAATTTTGAGTACTTTCATGTGTAGAAACATAAAAATGATGTGCTGGATTAGACTTAGACCCATTTAATCTATCATTTTTGTTCCCATTGTGGTCAACAAAATGCTTCTGTAAGAGCACAATCCTTCTAAGATGACAGGAATATTCTCACAACATCTGGTGTTCAAAAGAATCCTTACTGAAGCTAAAAATAAAATAAAAATGTGATTTGGAACAATTGATAGCCACATCCTATTTGAATTCTCTATTATAGAAATGCAAGTTAGTGGCTATTATCTTATTTAATAGTAAAGATACGTAAATATTTCTCTTTTTTCCTTCTCCATCGCTTATCATTCAACTACACTGGAATGCTTTTTTATTGTGGACACATTCCATGTATTTATGAATAATAAAATATTTTCTTGGTGTGACTAGATGGAGATGTGAGAGTCAAAATTATTGATAATGGAATAAATAACTAATACAGAAATCTGTTTATCCATCAATATTATAATATAATATAATACAATACAATACAATATAATATTTTTCCCAGTACAATAATCTAATAAAAATAGTTGCTTTAATCCATTTTTATCTTCAACATTTGAGTTTTGTAACATTGTACCATTTTTTTCATAAAACTGAAAATAATTATACACATTGTCTAAATGTTGATAGTTTGTTATGATTCTTAGAATAGTCTCTACTGAAAGTTTTTATTACTAACAGTATTCTTTTTTGCTGAACTATGAAATATTAAATGCCAGTCCTATTCACCTCAAATTAGTTCTTTCAAGGATCACTCTTCTTACTATGTAAGAAAAATAAGGCCCAGATATTTTAATACTTTTTCATTGCCAGTGCAAACATAACCTTTTTTAAATTCCTGCCCTGTATCTGGTTGGCATCAGTTAAAACTACTACAGTTACAATTCCTGCACTGATTTGCTTGTCTATCCCACTTAAAAAATAATGAATTGTGCGTGGCAAATAATATTAATTAGCAGTGACCAAAAGCATAGCATGAGTTAGCTGATACCTCACTTATTTTCTTCTGTCAGCAACTGTGAACATCTGCCTATTGTGAACGCAAGCCTTACCGCTTTCAGACAACAAAATATGTTTTTTTTTTAATGTTTAAGGTCTTCTGTTAAAGGAACGATCACAAGGTCATCTTTGAAATTCATATGAATAATTTCATAAAAAGGATTGATACCTACTGAAACCTGTTGCTAATTATTTTATATTGTTTTCATGAATAAATAAAAATGATAGACATTTTTGTATCCCCAGGTTTTGCTTTAATAGGACATGTTTTCTTTGCAAAATGGATTTGTATGATTATATTAGGCTGAGCTGTCATGTTAATTCCTCTGACTGGAGTGGAAAAGTATTCTCTTGAATCAGTAGTAGCAATAGCATTTGCTAGAATGAGTGACTCTTGATGGGGTAACAGGCTCAAATTTTGGTGATCTTAAATTGCTACAATATTAATCTTTAAAACAAGTAACTTGATTGTGCACTTTTATTTTTAAAAAAATAGGCAGAAGAAATAAGGGTGTTTTTTATGGAAGTATTGTCAGATTTATCAAAAGCTCTGAGGAGAATGGATTCTGTAGGCTTATTTTCAAAGTTTTTGTTCATGCAGTTTCCCTGCCCTTTAAGGAAATGTAGAAAAAGTTATATGTAAAATAAAATTGCACTATTTCAGTTGTATCTTGAATTTTTTTTCTTTGCATGAAGACCAGGCATCTGAAAAAAATAATTCATACTTTCAACAGTTTGAACGCATCTCTTAAAATTCTTTTCTTTCTTTTTTTTTCTTTTGTAGTTCTTTGAGGTTCCATTTGATGCAAATATGAACAGGACAAAAAACAGACCTCTAGTACAAGGACAGATCAGGTAAGGTTGCACATATGCTTTCTTTAAGTAGAAATGAATCTCACTGTTGCTGTATGTATTTCCCCAATTTTCAATCTTTCTTGTGCTTAGTTAAATAAAGATTAAAAGACATGGAAAGAAATCATTTTGAATGGTTTGATGATTCTGACACTTATAATGTCACCCAGAAAATATATCAACTTCCCTTCATCGTGTTCATATTTCATATAAGGGCCATTATAGATATACTTACTAAGAGTTACAGACTTCAACATTTTTGTATAAAAATAAACATTAGAACCAAAATGCTGATGCTACTAGGACTTGTGAATTTCCAGAAAAATTAAACTTTCCTGCATTAAATCTTCAAAGAAACTTTTAAGAAGTTTAAGGTAGGTAAGGTACCTAACACGAGTTTTAAGAAGTTTAAGAAGGTAAGGTACCTAACACAAGTAAATAGGCTTGTGGTCTTTAAATATTTGGGAAACAAACCACATAATACCTGATCAGTGGTTTATGATATTCTGGTACTGTGATGGCGAACTTATGGCATGCTTGCAACAGGTGGCATGCAGAGCCCTCTCTGTGGACACACGTACTGGCCGGTGCACATGCATGCACCAGAAATCAGAAAACCATGCACATACACTCTGGCCAGCTGGTCTTTGGGTTTCTGGACTCCAGCATGCGCACATGTGCATGCATGCACATACATGTTCCGATTTGGGCACTCGGTGCCCAAAAGGTTCACCATCACTGTTAGAATAGAATAGAAGAACAATACGTTTTCTATTGCCAGTGACAAAATCACAGATGATTTACATTATTAGAATAATTGAGGACTCCTGGCAGTTTCTGAAATAAATAATATATAATTGTGATTGCCATGAATTAAGGATAACATTTTGGGGTCAAAATGTATGCATACACAATTATTCATAAGTAACATAAAACATTGCTATTACTTTTATGGACAGTGCTGTGCTAATTCCAGTAGTTGGAACTAGCTGAGAATGTGCTAATTCCTATCTACTGTTACCTACATGTTGCCTACATTCTGTTTGGTCCTTGGTGCTCTCTGAGCTTGGTGGTTTTCTTGCAGACATTTCATTACCAAAGTAGGTAGACTCATCATACACTGTATGACCTAACATCAAAGGCTGATTATGTTACCTAGTTGATGATGAAACATCTGCAAGAAAACCACAAAGTTCAAAGAGCACTAAGGACCCCACAATTTAACCTTGAATTCCAAATATTCACTTCTAATGGTACCTGCATTCTCTTCCTGCCTCAAATCTTAATTGTGTCATTTTATACATATTACATTTAATGGTAGAATACTTTTTAAACTTTCCATTTAAAATATTACAATTCTTCAAATGAGGTGTGACTTCTGATGACTGAATGTGTATCAAAAGTTGCTTATTTCTTCATCTAAAGACCTGGAGAGTATGCTGCTAAATACAATATATGAAACATTGTTACCCTCCTATAAATCATTGTAACACTTTTTGCCAAGATTTTACAAAAAATAATTCTTAAATATGTCTCATCTTTTGTGCATACATTTTTCTCTGTATATACATATAAATAAAAAGCCAAGGTCCCAGGAGGCTTCTGTTTGAACATAAAGCAACCTTGATTTCTGCTTGTGTGTCTGTTCAGTTTCTTAAAGGATTCAGTTCCAAGTTCTTGGGGGATGGAGAATGCTGCACCTTATTTGCAAACTTTAAACTAAAGCCCTTATTCATAAACTATTCAACAAACAATTTTCAGATAGCATTTCCATGATTTGTGCCAAGGATTATTTATAACAAAATTATGTTTTCCCTTAGGCATCTGTGAACAGTTGGTCCTATTTATTTCTGTGTTTTATCCATCATCTTTGGAGGATTGAAGAAAAGTGATGGATGAAATTACACGAAAATTGAAACAAAATAGTAAAGCAAGCCCTGGGGGTAAACTCACCCTCATTGTAAATAGAGTACTTTAGTAAACTTGTTCTGATTTGTTCTGTGAGGTGGTGCTAATTATAGATTTCTAAGTTCAGTTAATTTTATTTTAAAAACATCATGAGGAAAATTTTAATGAGAACATCTGTTGAGCACACAGTAAGCCAAAAATTGAGCCCAGCCAAAATTCAGTGAAATGGATCTATACCCTTCACTCTAGTCTTTGAATTTGGTTAGGTAACTATATATGAAATAAAACTCCTCCTTTCTCATTCCCAGATAAAATTATAGGTTTTTTTTCCTGAACTGAATTACATTCACAGTAACTCACATGGGCGATCCAGTGCTTGCATGTATTTCCCACAGAAAAATGCTCTAAAATATATTCAGGGACAGAGATCTCAATTGCTAAAGCACATATATAAAATGCCTGTTTCCCCACATAGTTATTTACATGAAAGTGGAAGGATTTGAAAGATACACCATTTGGCCAAAATCATTTAAAAAAGAAAAAGAAAGGATATACTGTATTTAAATTGTCCTCTTTGTCCTGCCTGTTGTAATCATTGAGGAGGGGAGGGGGTCCCAAGCAATCACTCATTCATCCATGTATTAATAGCCAGTTTAATGCTCTTTAAAATGTCACAAAGCTTTAAATGATAAATGCCTATAGATTTCATGTTAACTATCAACTGCCACTATTTCTTCAGCTGGCCAAAAGTATGCCTAGCATGAGATCCATTTTATTGTTGAGTTTGTCCTAATATTTGAAAATTCCTTTTTTATTATTATTCTTATTAAATTTCTTCTACAGTTAACACTGAAGGCAAATCAAAACTACAAGAGATAGGTGTATTTGAAAAGTTGGTATCGTGTATTCTGGGAATCATTCCAAACATGTTTGGGGCATGCAGAAGGAATTTTGCATGCCTTCAAAGCCTTGTTGGGTGGGGGGGGAGTTTGTGATACATTCGACTTTCATCAAATTTAATGATGGGCTAGTCTGTTCTTGTTCTTTTACTTTAACTTTTTGATGCTGTAAATACAGAGACAACTACTTACTGAGAAAATGTTTTGAAGTCTATTGATTTTACATAAGGTACTAAACTGTGCAAGTGTCACTGATCAAAACACTTTAAGAATCATGAAGGTACAGATAATCTTTTGATAGCCTATGTATGTATGTATGTATGTATGTATGTATGTATGTATGTATGTATGTATGTTGCTGTCTTCAGACCAATAGAGGGAGGGTTTTTCACTATGTAGCCCTGTTATCAATGTCTCATTTTTCCATCATTTCACATGTTTAAATGTCTCTCTTCTCTCACATCCTATCAAACTTTTTAGACAAAAACAGCTTGTTTCTGTCTGTTCTGATTTTATGTTTGATGCATAAATTGATGAATCTTGATTGAATTCATAGCTCTGTTAGATGACTACTCTCTACAACTATTAAATCCATTGGATTTTTAAATTATTTGTGCAGATTATTGTGCAATCCACCATCATTATTTTGTTTTTGTTTATAATAGAGATGTAATGGACAAAACTTTGAAACTATTTTAGATTTAATGTTATTTTACTTTATTTGTTTGTTTGTTTGTTTGTTTAGAATATAGCTCCCTTTTCTTGACATAGTCATGATAAATATTATGCAGAATAAATATAAAATGACATTGGGCCACATTTCTCTGTCATGGTAAGCTATAATTTGGGAAAGAGATCTTATTAATTTTTCCAACCAGAAATTGCCCCAAGGCTGAGGAAATTGTTCAAGTTATTTATTCTTTCACAGCTTGTGAAATGAGTCACTGTAAGTATGAGAGTTTTGGCATAACTCCACCACATGACATCAAGGAAGCCAGTTGGATGTAGCAGTAACAAATGTGATCCTTATGAAAGCATTATACTCCTAATTATTATTAGGATAGTAAATCCATCACTTCTAACCGGGTGACAAAGAAACATTTATATTTGCTAGGCATATTTTATTCTCAAGTAGTTTTGACAATCTATCATAGACATTTGATAGTTTGTTAAAGTAATTATGTTAAGCCCCCAGTCTCAACTTACCACGTTGGTAAACTTCCTTTCCACTCTGCGTATTATCCTCTGACAAACTAGGATTGTGAGTTTGTACGACATGATAAAATTCAAATCTATCTAAATAAAGTGCAACTCAAGTTTCCCTTATGTGTTTTTCAAAACTTTTTTTAGACTTTTACCATTGAATTTGCATGGCACTTGAAACATAGGAATCCCAAAGGATTTCCTATAGATCTACCTTATGTGCCAAAAGGTTGAGATATAATCATATATATTGTTGTCTAATAATAAATTTGTATTGATGTTTCCGAATAAAAATAGATGCACAAACAAAAGCCTGATTATTGTGGCAATGTAACCTTTTGTATTAAATAATCAAGAACTTTTTCAGAGTGCCAAATATCTCATTCTTCTTTGGGCAGTTCATTGCAAGTGCATGGCATGACAGACTCTCTTATCATATGAATAATGTCTGCCATTATTACCCTAATACAAATGGAGCAATCTCAACTGCTAAACATCACCTCTTGTTCATTTCAAGTCATTGGAACATACTTGCACTGCCAGATACTTAAGCACAATTCACAGAGGATTTTCAAATGTCACTTGTCTCATAAATATCTGTTGGTGAGTAACTGGCTTCTAACTGAAACTACAAATATTTTTGTTTAATTTCATGCTTGTTAAAAGGGGTAGTGGTCCCTTTTAAAATAGCGCAGTTCTTAAGAGTCAATGTCGTAGTATTTTCTTTAAATGTTTATCCTAGACATTTGTAATTTTTATAAAATTAAATATATTCCACCCTGCTGAGTTTCTTTTCTTCTGCATGTTTTCTCTTAAAAGTAAGAAGCTGACATTGACTGAACGTGGTAAACCAAAAATTTAATAAGATAGCTTTATATTTTGACACATCCAACTACTTGTGAAAATGTTTCACTTGCATTGTAAGCTGTGGGATACTTATTCGCTTCTCTCATTTGGGTAGTTGCATAATAGTCAGTGAAAGGAAAATCCTTG